GCTCCAGGCTCTGTTTGTGTTGGCCTTGAGCTGAGTTCCAATTGGGATTTGGAGACCACAGAATCTCCGCTGAGCGATGATTAGCAAATGCTCTCTGAGATCCCAAGTCTCTGGCTTGTCTTAGGCAGTGAACAGGTGGGATGGGAGTGTAAGCATGGCTCAGTGGTCCCCAGAAGTTTTATTTTGATGGAATACAGGTATCCATTTGTTTTTTTATGTTGTTCTGTCTAAGAAATCTTTGACTTACTCTAAGACACAAAGATTTGAATTATGCAGGCAGCTCTGAGCTGTATTTTCAGTTAATTTTTGTGCATGGTACAAGGTACAAATTGTAGCTTTTGTTTTTACCTGTAGATTTCCAATTATTCCAGCACCATTTGGTGAAAAGATTATCCCTTCTTTCCTGAATTGCATTTGCACCTTCATCAAAAATCAGTTGTCTATTTCTGTGCAGACCTAAGTCTAGACTCTCTATTCTGCTTTTTTTTTAGATGGCTAAACACACAACAATACCACACTGTTTTTCTTACTGTAGTTTTATACTAATTCCTAAAATCACATAGCATGAACCTTTCAACTAAAGCAGAGAATTGAAGCCCTCAGGGCTAAACATCATCTGGCCCAGTACCCCATGGTCTTTAGAATGAAAAGCTGAAACTAGTTTTACATTTAAAGAAACAGAAACGTAAGAGAGGAAAGGCGCTGGCCCATGGAGCTAGTACATAATGAGGAAGCCAGCTCTCCTTCCTCACAAAGCCTTAGTAAAGCCCTTTCAATAAGCAAATGATGATAAAAACAAAAGCTGCCATTTTTTTTTTTTTTGGCAGTTAAGGTGCTAGGCATTTTACACATAGTATTTCATGTAACCCTGCATGCGTTTCGGTGATGTAGCACTAGTATATGTGTTGCAGATGAGGAAATGGAGACACAGAGAGCTGAAGGGATGCAGGCAAAGGTATACAGCTACTGGGTGGCTGGGCTGAGACACAAATCCAGGTGGCTCAGGGCAAAGCCTGTGCTTCCTCTAAACCAGCAGTTTTCCAAGCGAGATCCCTGGACCCACAACATCAGCATCACCTGGAAGCTTGTGAGAAATCAAATTCTTACCCCCAGGTGATTCCGATGCAGACAAATACCTGAGAACTACGGATGGAACCGATCCATGCACTGCCTCTGCTAGCAGAGCAGCAGCTCTATGTTTAAATCCCAATGGACAAATAAACAATTGCAGGGACTCACGTTTGTGGAGGATGCGTGTGGATCTATGGTTCTCTCTTACGGCCACACTCCATGGCAATGACTTCAGAGGAGGGAGGAGTGGATGGCGAGGCCAGTATCACGTCTGCAGGCAGGTGAAGTGCACAAGCTGCAGGTGGGGAGGGGTGGTCAGAGCCCTGGGCAACTGATTTTACCTCTCTGCATCTTCTCTTTCCTCTAGTGTAGAATAGGAATAAGAACAATGCTTACCTTCCAAAGGGACTGTAAGGATGGGTGAAACAAGTCAGGAAAAGGACTTAGCACAGGGTCTAGCCATAAAAATAAAGACTGCATCGAAGTTATTATGTAAGTCCATTTAGACACTTATTTCAAGAACTGACCACATAGAAGCCCCTGTGTTGGTTTTTTACTGACTCCCAGGCAGAGACCAATGGCCTGGCCATACACTCAGGAGAGAGGGCAGTGAAAACCCGGCCTATTAAAAGAATGCTCCCATGCAGCACAGCGCTATGGAAATTTGAGGGATGTATTCAGGGAGAACAAGTCAATGCCCATCAAAAGAACTCCCTTCCAGGTTCAGAAGGTGGCTGGAATCGACGAGAAGAGATCCCTGTGTGCTCCCTTGAGGTGGCCGCCTGTGTCCCTGAAATGAATGGATATGGGGACACTCAATGCAGCAGTGCAAAGACGGGCTGAATCTAGACATGTTGGTTTGGCACCCTCTCAGGAGTATAATGCCAGGAAGAACTACTTTGCTTGTCAACAAGGGAGACAGAGACTGCCACTGGCTATGGAGCAGATTCAGTACTGGGAGGGCCCTGAGCACAGCTGGCGAGTGGGACTGATGCTGGCTGCCCTGGGGGACTACAAATGGGTCTTGCCTGGAATAGACATGGACTCGGACTGGGCTTTGTTTACCTGGGGGAAAATGAAAACGCTCAGAGTGTCAAAAAAATCTGAACAGAAGATATTGCATGGATTTAGAAGGCCAACCATCATTTCTTCAGACCAGGCAATATACTGAACAGCCCCTAATGTCCAATAAAGGGCAGAGATATTGTCCTTAGAGTAACCGTTTGATAAAGGGATAGAAGGGGCAGTTGAAACACTGGTTGTCTAAAGCAACGGTCCCCAGCCTTTTTGGCACTGGGGACCAGTTTCCTGGAAGACAGTTTTATCATGCAGGGAGGGAGGATGGTTTCAGAATGATTCAAGCACATTCCATTGATTGTGCATCTTTTATTTCTATTATTATTGCATTATAATATGTAATAAAGTAATTACACAACTCACCATAATGTAGAATCAGTGGGAGCCCTGAGTTTGTTTTCCTGAAACTAGATGGCCCATCTGGGGTTGATGAGGGACAGTGACAGATCATCAGGCATAGAATCTCCTAAGGAGCACACAACCTAGCTCTCTTGCATGAGCAGTTCACAATAGGTTCCTGCTCCTACGAGAATCTAATGCTTCTGCTGATCTGATAGGAGGCAGAGCTCAGATGGTCATGTGAGCGATGGGGAGCAGTTGTAAATACAGATAAAGCTTCACACACTCAACCCACCACTCACCTCCTGCTCTACAGCCCAGTTCCTAACAGGCCAAGGACCAGTACCAAGTCTAAAACACGGGGAGATAAAACATGAAGGCTGCCTTGCACACCTTCACTAGTCTGTGCTCACACTGAACATGTGTGGGACTAAAGGAGTGTCCCTCCTAGATTTTTGTCTGTTTTCCTGGTTGGTCTGGGGAAGAGAGGCTGGGGAGGATGCTGGGATGACCTTGCAATTCTTGCCATGGGAGGAATACACTGGTAAAACAACTATGTAATTTTTTTTCTTTCTTTCCCAAATCACCTCAGAAAAATGTCTTGTTTTTTTGTTTTTTGTTTTGTTTTGTTTTGTTGTTGTTTTCTCTCCCTTACCTGATGCAGTGGTCCTAGAACCAGAGCTGCAACTGCAAGTTCTGGAAGCAGGAATGATTGCTAAGCAAGAAACCATCATTGTGTTTTTAAACTTTGTCAGAATTCCTAACAATTCTGGGAGTGGACTGTGTCTTTACCCCATCTGGCAAAACCGGGGTTAGGACTAAATACAATGAACATACACGTGCATGTATCTTTATAATAGAATGATTTCTGTTCCTTTGGGTATATACCCAGTAATGGGATTGCTGGGTCAAATGGTATTTCTGCCTCTAGGTCTTTGGGGAATCGCCACACCGTCTTCCACAATGGCTGATGAAGGAACGGAAGACTAACGCCGCATGTTCTCGCTTACAAGTGGGAGCTGAATGATGAGAACACATGGACGCATGCGCGGGGAACCACACACGCTGGGGGCTGTTACGGGTGCGGTGGGGGAAGGGAGAGCATCAGAAACAACAGCTAGTGGATGCTGGGCTTAATACCTAGGTGATGGGATGATCTGTGCAGCAAACCATCATGGCACACGTTTACCTATGTAACAAACCTGTACATCCTGCACATGTACCCTGAACTTAAAACTTGAAGAGAAAAAAAAGAATAAATACAAATATATTCCCTGGTGGTAGAAGTGGCTCACTAGTTTGGAACCGGTGTAACCCAGTCCAGAATGAATGGGAACAGACTGAGGCAGAGGCACTCACTAGGCTGATAGTGCTACCAGCGATCTGGACCAGCACAGTGGCTGAAGTTAATGTCCCTTTCAAAGGTGGAAAAGTTTCGTAAAAGTAAATGACAAATGGAAAAAAAAGAAAGAATAATAGCTGAGGGTAAGAAATAAATAAATATGTTATAGATTGAGGGAAATCCAATAGTACATTAACAACCCTTTTAAAGAATCTCAGAGCAAGAGATGACATCATTGGCCAGTTCAGTTATTCCAGGTGTCTGAAAGGGCGAAGCCGTGCATTTACTGAGACCCCTCCTGCTTTTGGGAACTGACAAGTTTCCTGAAGCACCCACGGAGGGCATGGAGGCTCCATGTCCCTTCCCCCATACCTCGTCCTACACATCTGGATCCTTTGCAATATCCTTTATAATCAACTAGTATGTTGAAAAAAAAATACCACTGACCACAGGCTGCTGGCCTCCCATGGAGTACCTGGTGTAGGCTTGGGTATCTCTACCTGGTAGAACTGCCAGATGAAATACAGAGACCTAGCTACGTTTGAATTTTAGAAAAATAATTCTTTTTTGTATGTCTCATGCAATATGTGGGACAAACACTAAATTTTTTGTTGTTGATATCTGAAACTTAAATGTAACTGAACTCCCTTTTTATTTGGTAAATCTGGCAACTCTACTGCCTGGACAGCAGAGGCCCTTTGAGCAGGAGGAATTGGCTCCTGGTAGTAGAGGAAGGACTCTGGTCCCCAGTGTAAACCTGTCTGTTTGCTTTCAGGATGCGGGTTCAGAAACCTTTAATGCTGCCTATAAAGATTCAGCATGGCCAGGGACTTGCAGAAGGACTCTCACCTGGTTCCACGTCGATGCATTTCAGCCACATGTAATCAAACAGAGAGAAATGGAAAAGAACAGGGTGGTTAAGGGACCTGTTAAAAGTGACTACAATTTGGCCCACTCCACTTGAAAAACAAAAGCAGAGAAACAAGCTGCTTTGTTCCGGGATACAAACGAAAAAAGCCGAAAAACCAAAACACCACCAACAAAACAAAGCCACAGACACATTTCACCAGAAGTGTATTTATTTACCCCTCTGAAATGTCTTTCTTAATATATGGCTGGATGTTCTGTTTTATAAATCTGTAATTACAAGTAACTGGTGTTGCAATGATTATAAATTTGCAGTATATTTATTTGGGAATTAAATGGCATTAATTGGAGGGTGGAACAGTGACTACGACTTAATTAACCTGATACTATGGGCTCTGGTTAAAAATCCACCACTATCAGGTAAGTGTGTGTTCCAGGAACAGTGGAGCTTCCACATTTAAAGGCTGTAAATTATTGATGGCAGTAGTCAGTGCTTCTGACAAGCAGTAAACTGGGAGACTGAGTGCTGGAAAGTTGGAACACATTTGATCCATGTAGGTGGAAATGTGCAGGGTAAAAATAGAGTTGTGGCAAATGCTTTTCCAGATCCATCAGACCGCCAGGGAGCGAGATCTTTTGCCAGCTCTCTCCACCTCTGCTGGTATCCACTCTCCATCTCTTCCCTTCAGACCTCTACCCTGTGTCCACAGTCTGGTCATCAGTTCTCTTCTGTGGTCAAAAGGAGGCTGGATGGGAAGAAAGAAACCAGGCTGGAGAATGAAATGGGCATCTGAGCAGAAGGTGGAATTGAAAATTCACAAAGAGAAGCTTGCACTTCATCCTCATCTGTTCTCTTCCCTCCCTGTTCAACTGGGGATTGTGTTTTTAATGCTGATTTCTTTCCTCCTCACTGGAATTGTCTTATGTAATCCTAGCTAGTGGAGTAGCTGAACTTAATTTGATGGAATAAAAAGAAATGTGCCTTTGTTTTCTTAAAAAGAATGAATGTTTGCCATTTCATATTTATGAAAACAATAAACCAGGCTTTACTGGGGAGAGAACTAGAGGGGGGAGCAGCAGATGCCCGGAAAAAAAAGGGCATAATATTTATAACACTGTGAATGAAGCATTAAAAAATGGGCAAATTAAAGCAATCCCTCAGCAGATGGGGCATATGTATTGCTAGAAACTCATGTGCACATGTTCCAGCCTCATCTATGGAACTGCGCTGAATGTCAAGCTACTTGGTGATAGGGGAATTTGATTTAAAGCGTATGTTTTTAAAGGAATTGTCGTATGTGCCCATGTGTGAGTAAAACACAAGTGAGGAAACCCTGAAGCTTCTCACTTCTGGAAGCCTTTTAATCAGAAAATGCTCTCCTATGCCTGCCACATAGGGAGTATCATAGGACAGGATGCTATGACATTCTATTTTAAAATGTAATGTGGGTTACCCAGCAATTTCACTCCTAGGTATTTACCCAGATCAATGAAGCACAAGTCCAGCAAAAGACTTCTTTGAGAATTTAATAATTGCCAATCCTTACCCCCTCTTAAAAAAATAAAATCAACTCAAACAGACATCAATTGTAGAATGGATAAACAAATTGTATATGTTGGAATATTACTCAGCAACAAAAAGAAACAAACTGTTGATACAATGGAAGACATGATCAAATCTTTAAAACGTTAAGCTGTGGCTGGATGTGGTGGCTCCCAGCACTTTGGGAGGATGAGGCGGGTGGATCACCTGAGGTCAGGAGTTCAAGACCAGCCTGACCAACATGACGAAACCCTATCTCTACTAAAAACACAAAATTCGCTGGGCATGGTGGCACATGCCTGTAATCCCAGTTACTTGGGAGGCTGAGGCAGGAGAATTGCTTGAACCTGGGAGGCAGAGGTTGCACTGAGCTGAGATCACACCATTGCAGCCCAGCCTGGGCAACAAGAGCAAAACTCTGTCTGAAAAACAAAACAGAACAAATAATAATAAAAAAAAAACCCATTACGCTGAGCAAGTGAAGCCAGATATGTCAAATAAAAACAAATCTGGACTCACTGCAGACACTTTATATAAAAGGATTATTGCAGTGGGGGTGGGGAGGGTATTGCCATGGAGAAAACATTGTATCTATAATGTGGACACTTATCTCAAAGGTTAGGCAAGCAGCATTTTTCTCTTACAGAGAGGAGTGAACAAGGCTAGGAAGAACTGAGTGAGGGGAAGTAGGGTGAAAACGTTTTACCTGAAGCTAGTTTCTTCCCTGGAGGAGTTGTCTGCAGGCTTTGGCTGAGGGTAACCAAATCTTAATCTTTGTCTAACAGGTATTTTGTTCCATTTCATCAGTGGCAACAAGGAGATCAGTCAATCATTTATGAGGCAAAGAATGGGAAGGCGGAGGGTCTGGGTCTGGTCTTGTCCTAAGTAACACAGAACATCATGAACTGTAGCTAAGTCTTGTAGGAAATGGTGTTTTCCAGAGCATGAAAGGGTGGGGGAATTCTTTTAACCGTTGCTGTTTTTTTCAGGAGCCCAGGTTCAGCTAAAATTCAACCTTGTCACATTACAAAGTACATTGCCATATGATTATATGAAATATTAAAAAAAAAAAGATGAAACTAAGATATCGTGAAAGAAAGCAGATGATGACTGCCCGAGGCCATCCAAGGAATGGGGACTGACTGCAAAAGGGCACAGGGAAACTACTGGGGGTGGCCGGAATGTTCAAAATCTTGATTGCGGATGTCTTAGTCCATTCAGGTGGTTATAACAGAATACTGTACATCGAGTGGTTTGTTCACAACAGAAACTTACCTCCCACAGCTCTGGAGACTGGGACACCCAAGATCAAGATGCTGTCAGAGTCAGTGTCTGGTGAGGGCCTGATTCCAGGTTCATAGACTGCACCTATTCACTGTGATCTCACCTGGTGAGAGGGACAAGAGAGCTTCCTGGAGTCTCTTCTTATAAGGGCACTAATCCCGCTCAGGAGGGCTCCACCCTCATGACCTAAGAACCTCCCACCTCCTAATATTATCACCTTGGGGGTTAGGATTTCAACATATACATTTAAAGGGAACACAAATATTCAAACCATAGCATTGGTGATGGTTGCACTGTATATACATGTCCCACAATTTATGGAACCATAATACACCATTTAAAATGGGTGTATTTTATTGTATGTGAAATATACCTCAAATGAATATATTTTAGCAAATGTCAAGTGGGTAGATCATACTAGCCATGAGCTCAGGCATAGAAGCTGGGCAGGTGTGAACTTGACAAGCACAAATCCATCACTTATGAACTGTGAGAGAGATATTAGGCAATTGCTTATCCTCACTAAACATCACTTTCTCCATTAGTGCCAACCTCTAAGACTGATTAGAGCTTTAAAGGCATGCACCTAGTAAGAACCCAATAATCTTAGCTATTATTGCTGCTACAATCATTACTGTGTGTTTCGCTTCTCATGCGTCTCTTGGGCAATGTGATACAGTGGAGAGAAAACAAGATTTCAAGGCAGAATATTTGGGCTTCAGGTTCCTTCGGCTCATTGTCTTCAGCAGGAAAATATAACCATCACAGCTCAGCTGTGTTACAGTGTAGTTATGAAAATCAAATGTGAAAGTGGATGTGGAAGTATTGATAAACTAAAGCAACCTCACAAGTGGAAACAAACTAATACATGGGATTAAGCATAAGTTCCTTTCCTTTTTTTTTTTTTTTTTTAACTTATTCCCGTGTATTTTCTGATGTATTTTTCACAAGGAATATGGATTCTTCTTAGAATCAGGGAAAAAGTAATTTTCGTTTCAGTAAAAGATGCTGTAGGCCTGGAGTAAGTACTTAGATATTTACTTGAAAAATAGGTCCATAAGTAGAGGTGAAGATATAATTTATCTTCCATGGAGATCACTTTTGAAAGTGAAAGAGTATGCTATCGCTAATTACACCAAGGAAAGTGGCATACACTGAAATGATCTGGGGAAAACTGAGATAATTGGTCATCTCTATATAAGGGACATGTAAGCTAATATTCATTCACAGATGCCTCTTAAAAATAAATAAGGTACCACTTGAGGAAAGAGGGGAGTGGGAGGATGAAGAAGTTGGTGAATGGGTACAAAAATATAGCTAGATAGAAGGAATAAGTTCTAGTATTTGATAGAAAAGTAGGGAAATTATAGTTAACAGTAATTTATTACATATTTCAAAATAGGTGAAGAGGAGAATTGAAATGTTCCCAACACAAAGAAATGATAAATGTTTCAGGCGCTGACTATCCCAATTACCCTGATTTGGTCCATACACATTGTATACGTGTAACAAACTATGACATGTAGTCCCAAAATATGTGTAACTATGATGCTATCAATAAAAAATGAGATATCTGACATCACTGGATCTGAAAATTAAGAAAACGTGGTCTTGCCTTTGGACCTGAGAGCTCAGGTCAGTAACACCTGCTTACTGAAGGTGGAGACTTTCCAAAGGCTGGGAGCATAGTCCCCTGACTGTCCCCCTGGAGAAACTCATACCTCCTAGGGGACTCCCTTCCTATGAATAGATGAGGCTTGGGGTCCTCCTTCCATAGAAGAAGGAGGTTCTTCTGTGGAAGTAAAGAAATAAAAAAGTGTGGATAATTCCATGTGTTTCTTTAGCTGTTAAAGAAATTCAAGTATTCTACTTTAGACTGTTGACTAAAGGTTATTGTTTAAAAAACCTTAAAGCTGTTTTGCATTTTGATCATCATATTAAAGACTAGTTGAACAAAGATCATCAATGGATGCCAAATCTATGGAAGAAACTTGCATGTTCTAAAAATGTCTCCCGACCAGGCACGGTGGCTCACACCTGTAATCCCAGCACTCTGGGAGGCCGAGGTGGGCGGATCACGAGGTCAGGAGTTCAAGACCAGCCTGACCAGCCTGGTGAAACCCCGCCTCTACTAAAAAAATAAATACAAAAATTAGCCAGGCATGGTGGCGCTAATCCCAGCTACTCCAGAGGCTGAGGCAGGAGAATCGCTTGTACCCAGGAAGTGGAGGTTGCAATGAGTCAAGATTGTGCCACTGCACTTCAGGCTGGGCAACAGAATGAGACTCCATCTCAAAAAAAAAAACCTCTCCCTATTGATCACTAAGTAAAAACAAGGGTAAAAATTGTCAGTGCACAGTGGAGGTTCTACACAATTCTTTGCCCCAGAGACCAAAATGAACATCCTCATTGAACTGCCGTGGACACTGTGGCCTCTGATGTGATGCCCTGAGAAGGACAAATCTTCCCCATGTAGATCTCCAGTCAGGGAGGTAGTACCCGAATCCAAGCACAAGGAAACATCAGAGACCACTTTGAGCCACTCTTTAGAAAATGAATGGCCTATAGTCTCCAAAAATGTCAATGTCATACTACAGAGAGGCTGAGGAAATATTCCAGATTAAAAAGCCTGGGGACATAATAAATACATGCTATTCATGATCTTAAACTGGATCTTAAACTGGAGGCTAAACTTCTACAGAGGGCATTTTTTGACAATTGACAAATTGGAATACAGTCTGTATTTAGACAACAGATTTGATCAATGTTAAATTTCTTGAATTGCTACCTATGGTTTTCTTTTTTATTTTTGCTTTATTTTATTTTATTTATTGATTTATTTTTTAGTTTTCCTTTTTTTATTATACTTTAAGTTCCGGGGAACACGTGCAGAATGTGCAGTTTTGTATAGGTATACACGTGCCATGGTGGTTTGCTGCACCCATCAATCCATCACCTACATTAGATATTTCTCCTAATGCTATCCCTCCCCTAGCCTCCCACCCCCAGATAGGCCCCAGTGTGTGATGTTCCCCTCCCTGTGTCCATGTGTTCTCATTGTTCAACTCCCACTTATGAATGAGAACATGCAGTGTTTGGTTTTCTGTTCTTGTGTTAGTTTGCTGAGGTTGATGGTTCACAAAAAAGCAATGGGAAAAGGATTCCCTATTTAATAAATGGTGTTGGGAAAACTGGCTAGCCACATGCAGAAAACTGAAACTGGATCCCTTCCTCACACCTTATACAAAAATTAACTCAAGATGGATTAAAGACTTAAATGTAAGACCTAAAACGATAAAAATCCTAGAAGAAAACTAGGCCAGGCATGGTGGCTCATGCCTGGAATCCTAGCACTTTGGGAGGCCGAGGCAGGCAGATCATGAGGTCAGGAGATCGAGACCATCCTGGCTAACACGGTGAAACCCCGTCTCTACTAAAAGTACAAAAAATTAGCCAGGCATGGTGGCGGGCGCCTGTAGTCCCAGCTACTTGGGAGGCTGACGCAGGAGAATGGCATGAACCCAGGAGGTGGAGCTTGCAGTGAGCTGAGATCGCGCCACCACACTCCAGCCTGGGTGACAGACTCCATTTCAAAGAAAAAAAAAAAAAAACTCCGTTTCAAAAAAAAAAAAAAATTCTCTTTAAAAAAAATTTAAAGAGAATATCCTTGTTCTTAGTAAATATGCCTTGAAGTATTAAAAAGTAAAGAGGCATGATGTATGAAATTTACTCTCAAAAGTTTCAGAGAAAACAAATTATGTGTGTGTGCATGTGTGTGTATACACAGTCATTTACCAACAGACTTTGAGGGAGAGAGAATATGAAAAATAAATGTGGCCAAATATTAAATATTGATAAATCTGAGTAAAATCTACATGGGAGTAGTTTGTATTGTTTTTGCAACATTTTTTTTTGTAAGTTCAAAATTACTGTGAAGTCAAAAGATTTTAAAAATTGAGGAAAGAGGCTACTAAGTAGTGATAAGTGAATGATGACCAGAAGCTTAGAGACCTCAGACTCTGATTAAATCCCTAGATGAGGCCGGGAACGGTGGCCCATGCCTGTAATCCTAGCACTTTGGAAGGCTGAGGCAGGTGGATCACCTGAGGTCTGAAGTTTGAGACCAGCCTGGCCAACATGGCGAAACCCTGCCTCTACTAAAAAATACACAGATTAGCCTGGCATGGTGGTGTGTGTCTGTATTCCCAGCTACTCAGGAGGCTGAGGCAAGAGAATTGCTTGAATCTGGGAAGTGGAGGTTGCAGTGAGCCAAGATCATACCATTGCACCCCAGCCTGAGTGACAGAATGAAACTCCATTAAAAAAAAAAAAAAAAGCCCCAGATGACAATGGTGTTGCTATGGGGATAAGCTGGGTCCAGAGATGCTCACATGTGGTTTAGGGGGACAAAGGAAACATGAGGATATCCGTTTCGCTTTGGGTGTTGTGATTTGGACTATGGAGGCTCCACTGGGGCAGGTGGCATGAGAAAGTATTGGTAAAATCTGACTGTTCTTGAAATCGAGCTCTTTGGAAGATTGTGATAACCAAGTGAGAGGTCATTGCTCCACCAAATTTGAGTGCTTACAGTTGATCACATGAAATTAAAATGCCCAATTATGATTACTAAGGAAGGGATCCTATATTGCTGGAATTATCATTTCCCCAAAGTCAAGCGCCAATGCCAGGGTCAGATGAGCACTGAACACCAGAAGACTTCCTACCCAAAGCATTTGCTGAGCTACTAGGCATCCAGTTGGTCAAGAGGACAATAAGCTAAACTGATAGTAGCGATCAAGCCTCTATCCTCTTACTATGACAGTGTGAGCAAGAGGCAGAAAAAGAGGTGACAACCCTGCAGTGTTCCATTTCCCCCAGGGAGCGGTGCCAGGTGAAGGTCAGCATGGACCTGGGCAATAGGAAACTGCAGAGGAGTCCCAGTCTAAGGACTGCTGCCGCTTTATGGACACAGAGGCTGGGGAGAGAAGGGGGACAAGGACGTTCTTTAGCCACAGACCCTGATAAGGAGGTCTTGGTAGAGGACCCTGGACTAGGAGTGCATATATGTGCATGAGTTGGGCTGGCCAGGCAGGGCCCAAGTCC